ATCTGGGCAGGTGACCCATTACAATGTAACCATCTGGGCAGGTAACCTATTACAATATACTATCTGGGAAGGTGACCCCTTACAATGTGACCATCTAGGCAGGTAACGCATTCCAATATACCATCTGGGAAGGTAACCATTAAAATATAGCATCTGCTCACGCGACCCATTACAATGTAACCGTCTGGGCAGGTAACAATTACAATATACCATAGGGGCAGGTGACACGATAAAATGTGACCATCTAGGTTGGTAACGCATTACAATATACCATCTGGGAAGGTGAACCCTTACAATGTGACCATCTAGCCAGGTAACGCATTCCAATATACCATCTGGGCAGGTGACCTATTACAATGTGACCATCTGGCTAGAGTACGTATTACAATATACCAACTGGCAGGTAACCCATTAGAATATACTATTTGGGCAAGTGACCCGTTACAATGTGACCATGTAGGTTGGCAACGCATTATATATACGATCTAGGAAGGTGACCCCCTACAATGTAACCATCTAGGCAGGTAACGCATTACAATATCCCATCTGGGTAGGTAACCCATTAAAATATACCATCTAAACAGGTGACCCATTACAATGTAACCATCTGGGCAGGTAACCTATTACAATATAGTATCTGGGTAGGTGACCCCTTACATATTACAATATACCATCTTGGCAGGTGACCCCTTACAATGTGACCATCTAGGTTGGTAACGCCTTACAATATACCATCTGGGAAGGTGACCCCTTACAATGTGACCATCTAGGTTGGTAAGGCATTATAATATACCATCTCGTAAGGGGACCCCTTACAATGTGACCATCTAGGCAGGTAACGCATTACAATATACCATCTTGGCAGGTGACCCCTTACAATGTGACCATCTAGGTTGGTAAGGCATTATAATATACCATCTCGTAAGGGGACCCCTTACAATGTGACCATCTAGGCAGGTAACGCATTACAATATACCATCTTGGCAGGTGACCCCTTACAATGTGACCATCTAGGTTGGTAAGGCATTATAATATACCATCTCGTAAGGGGACCCCTTACAATGTGACCATCTAGGCAGGTAACGCATTCCAATATACCATCTGGGAAGGAAACCATTAAAATATATCATCTGCTCACGTGACCCATTACAATGTAACCGTCTGGGCAGGTAACAATTACAATATACCATAGGGGCAGGTGACACGATAAAATGTGACCATCTAGGTTGGTAACGCATTACAATATACCATCTGGGAAGGTGAACCCTTACAATGTGACCATCTAGCCAGGTAACACATTCCAATATACCATCTGGGCAGGTGACCTATTACAATGTGACCATCTGGCTAGAGTACGTATTACAATATACCAACTGGCAGGTAACCCATTAGAATATACTATTTGGGCAAGTGACCCGTTACAATGTGACCATGTAGGTTGGTAACGCATTACAATATACGATCTAGGAAGGTGACCCCCTACAATGTAACCATCTAGGCAGGTAACGCATTACAATATACCATCTGGGTAGGTAACCCATTAAAATATACCATCTAAACAGGTGACCCATTACAATGTAACCATCTGGGCAGGTAACCTATTACAATATACTATCTGGGGAGGTGACCCCTTACAATGTGACCATCTAGGCAGGTAACGCCTTCCAATATACCATCTGGGAAGGTAACCATTAAAATATATCATCTGCTCACGTGACCCATTACAATGTAACCGTCTGGGCAGGTAACAATTACAATATACCATCTAGGCACGTGACCCATTACAATGTAACCGTCTGGGCAGGTAACAATTACAATATACCATAGGGGCAGGTGACCCGATACAATGTGACCATCTAGGTTGGTAACGCATTACAATATACCATCTGGGAAGGTGACCCCTTCAATGTGACCATCTCGGCAGGTAACGCATTACAATATACCATCTGGGAAGGTGACCCCTTCAATGTGACCATCTCGGCAGGTAACGCATTACAATATACCATCTTGGCAGGTGACCCCTTACAAATTCACCATCTAGGTTGGTAACGCATTACAATATACCATCTGGGATGGTGACCCCTTACAATGTGACCATCTAGGTTGGTAAGGCATTATAATATACCATCTCGTAAGGTCACCCCTTACAATGTGACCATCTAGGCAGGTAACGCATTACAATATACCATCTGGGTAGGTAACCCATTAAAATATACCATCTGGATAGGTGACCCATTACAACGTAACCCTCTGGGTAGGTAACCCATTACAATATACCATCTGGGAAAGTGACCCCTTACAATGTGACCATCTAGGCAGGTAACGCATTACAATATACCATCTGGGTAGGGAACCCATTAAAATATACCATCTGGACACGTGACCCATTACAATGTAACCATCTCGGCAGGTAACCCATTACAATATACCATCTAGGAAGGTGACCCCTTACAATGTGACCATCTCGGCAGGTAACGCATTACAATATACCATCTTGGCAGGTGACCCGTTACAATGTGACCATCTAGGTTGGGAATGCATTACAATATACCATCTAGGAATGTGACCCCTTACAATGTGACCATCTAGGCAGGTAACGCATTACAATATACCATCTGGGGAGGTAACCCATTAAAATATACCATCTGGATAGGTGACCCATTACAATGTAACCGTCTGGGAATGTAACCCATTACAATATACCATCTGGGAAGGTCACCCCCTACAATGTGACCATCTAGGCAGGTAACCATTACAATATACCATCTGGGTAGGTAACCTATTAAAATATACCATCTGGACACGTGACCCATTACAATATGACGATCTGAGTAGGTAACCCATTACAATTTCACCATTAAAACAGGTAACCCATTACAATATACCATCTGGGCAGGTGACCTATTACAATGTGACCATCTAGGCAGATAACGCATTATAATATACCATCTGGGCAGGTGACCCGTTACAATGTGACCATCTAGGTTGGTAACGCATTACAATATACCATTTGGGAAGGTGACCCCTTACAATGTGACCATCTAGGCACGTAACGCATTACAATATACCATCTGGGCAGGTAACCCATTAAAATATACCATCTGGGTAGGTAACCCATTACAATGTAACCGTCTGGGCAGGTAACCATTAAAATATACCATCTAGGTTGGTAACGCATTACAATATACCATTTGGGAAGGTGACCCCTTACAATGTGACCATCTAGGCAGGTAACGCATTCCAATATACCATCTGGGAAGGTAACCATTAAAATATACCATCTGCACACGTGACCCATTACAATGTAACCGTCTGGGCAGGTAACCATTACAATACACTATCTGGGCAGGTGACCCGTTACAATGAGACTATCTAGGTTGGTAACGCATTACAATATACCATCTGGGAAGGTGACCCCTTACAATGTGACCATCTAGGCAGGTAACGCATTACACTATACCATCTTGGTAGGTGACCCGTTACAATGTGACCATCTAGGTTGGTAATGCATTACAATATACCATCTCGGAAGCTGACCCCTTCCAATGTGACCATCTAGGCACGTAACGCATTACAATATACCATCTAGGCAGGTAACCCATTAAAATATACCATCTGCACAGGTGACCCATTACAATGTAACCATCTGGGCAGGTAACCTATTACAATATACTATCTAGGAAGGTGACCCCTTACAATGTGACCATCTAGGCAGGTAACGCATTCCAATACACCATCTAGGAAGGTAACCATTAAAATATACCATCTGGACACGTGACCCATTACAATGTAACCGTTTGGGCAGGTAACCATTACAATATACCATCTGGGCAGATGACCCATTACAATGTGACCATCTAGGTTGGTAACGCATTACAATATACCATCGCGGCAGGTGACCCATTACAATGTGACCATCTAGGTTGGTAACGCATTACAATATACCATCTCGGAAGGTGACCCTTTACAATGTGACCATCTAGGCAAGTAACGCATTACAATATACCATCTCGGCAGGTGACCCATTACAATGTGACCATCTAGGTTGGTAACGCATTACAATATACCATCTCGGCAGGTGACCCATTACAATGTGACCATCTAGTGAGATAACCGATTAAAATATACCAACTAGCAGGTGACCCATTACAATATACCATCTGGACAGTTGACCCATTACAATATACCATTTAGGTAGGTGCACATTACAATATACCATCTGGGCAGGTGACCCATTACAATATACCATCTGGACAGTTGACCCATTACAATATACCATTTAGGTAGGTGCACATTACAATATACCATCTGGGCAGGTGACCCATTACAATATGACCATCTGTGTAGGTAACCCATTACAATATACCATCTAGGCACGTGACCCATTACAATGTGACCATCCTGGCAGGTAACGTATTATAATATACCATGTGGGCAGGTGACCCCTTACAATGTAACCATATAGGTAGGTAACCCATTACAATATACCATGTAGGCAGGTGACCCATTACAATATGACCATCTAGGTATGTAACCCATTACAATATACCATCTGGGCAGGTGACTCATTACAATGTGACCATCTGGGTCGGTAACCCATTACAATATACCATCTCGGCAGGGGACCCATTACAATGTGACCATCTAGGGGGATAACCTATTAAAATATACCAACTGGCAGGCGACCCATTACAATATAACATCTGGACAGGAGAACCATTTCAATATGCCATTTAGGTAGGTGACCCATTACAATATACCACCTGGGCAGATGACCCACTACAATATGACCATCTAGGTAGGTAGCCCATTACAATATACCATCTAGGCAGGTGACCCATTACAATGTGACCATCTGGCGACATAACGTATTACAATATACCAACTGGCAAGTAACCCATTACAATATAGCATCTAAGCAAGTGACCCATTACAATGTAACCATTTAAACAGGTAACCCATTACAATATACCATCTAGGCAGGTGACCCATTACAATGTACCATGTGGGGCGGGA